CAGAACAGTTGTAAAAGTAAACGTGTGTGCAGTTTATTTGTGTTTATAACATTTATTTTTTATATAGTATATTTTTAACAGAATAAGTCAAGCCTGAGAAATGGCAAACGCAATTTCTAACTAATGTTCGAATTTCTACTGGAGTAGCCTGCTGAAAATATGCACTCTGGAATGCTAAGGTAATGAAAACCCAAGAAAGAAATGTATCGACGGGTATATTGGCTAGTAGTAAAAAAAGAAAATATAACATAACAAATATGTCTCCGATAAAAAAAACAACCTATACAATAACTTTTGTAAACCTTTCGTTCCCCGATGGGATGTCGATTGCATTTACTGATAGGATCATGTTACTTGATGAGATCACTTTACCGGTGAGTTACAGTTAATTTGTTCCCCATTCACATCCTATTCATCGTATGGATTTGTTCCCGTTAGGATATCAATGGGCATGTTTAGAGACAATTCGAAGGAATCTATAGAAATGAATAGAACGAACATTAAAGATATCATTAAATTTACCCGTAGAACAATATACAACTTTCTGGAACATCTTAGTTTCGATGTAATATCCTCATTGAAAAATGTGTAAAAATAACTTTCTTAGAAAAATATTATTAGAATACGAACAATTTTACAACTAAATGCATTACCTTTACCTATAGCATTTTTAAGTGGAAAGAGGAGCACAAGCAGGGGCCTTTTCCGAAATTGTACCGAATCAGCTTTAAATTTTTACCATTAAAATCTATTTAATACTGCCATAAACATAGACTTTTAAAGGTATCTAACATTATTTAAAATTCTAGATTGGATATTCTTAGTTTAAAATACACTGACATTTCAATACGGACAATGAAGTCTATTGCTACCATGTTGTCACGTCTATAATCACTCACAGTGCACAGACTACCACAATAGTATCTATCAACAACAGAGGCTTTGTGGATTCCAATGAAATATAGTGACTATCCTTTATTAATACGTAATCACAATAATAATCATCAATAAATAATATTTGTAATGATCTTAAAGAACACTTAAAATAAATCTTCTCCAATTGATAACGTCCCAATCACAATCTATTCATTATCTGATCACATAATATTAATAAGAAGGACTTAAAATTATCGCCATGACTCCATCCTTTCTTCTACGTCTCACTTCAATGATTGGTTTGTCTTACCAAGTCCCATACTCTATAAATTACAAGTCATAATGCTCACCTCACTTAACTCCCTTGTAAATCATTAATATATGTGACTTATGTGATACTGTATCAACCAATTCACATAGAACCTATAGAGCTGACTAGGCATAATTATATTTATTTATCTAAGACTTGGAAAATGAAATGGTCCCAGGAGTAAATGATATAGTGATTTTAGTACTTATCGGCATTTGAATATAGATATTAAGTGTATGCTTACTAAACTTGTTTAAAATCCACTCATTCATGGAGGGGTATTTATGTTAATTTTATTGATATAGCTATTAAAAAACAAATTCGGAGCCCCCGGCCCCAAACGATATTTTAAAAAAGATTTAAAATCCGTCAAGAATTCCTTTTGGATAATAATGGATGTATGTGCCGCGTTAGGTGAAGGAAGATCCATTAATCCATATAAAATTCTACGTAGAATAGATAATTCTACATACAAACAAACGAACACATTTTCACTTTTATAACTAAACTAACCTATATACCCAGGATTACATTAGGACCCCATCCTGGTGTGACCCCTGATCCCACTGGGATCCCGATCCGATTCTGACATTGATCTCGGCGCATTCCCATTTCCCGGTGTTATCCAGATCCCGGTGAATCCATTTAAGGTTAGGATCCCGATCCCGGTGGGATCCCATTTTCTGGTGGGATCCTGATCCCATTGGGAAACAGATAATGATGGGATCCCAACCCATTTGGAATCCCGTGTCCAAAAATTCTTCAGTGGTATTGAAAGAATAGTAAACTCCGGGGCAGTAAAGAAATGAATAGAACTAACTAACATTTCAATAATCCGTTAGATCAAACTATATAACAATTTGTAACAATTTAGACTTTTCTGGAATATTCTATATTAAATTTAATAACCTGCTCGAAACATGTGTAAAAACTAATTTTCTAATTATTTTTTTTTAATGCGATAAAAATCTTCAACAAATGCCATAATTGAAATAATTTTTCTTTTAAATTAATCAAGGGGCCCCGGGGGCCCATTCCATAACTGTACCCATTTAGTTATGCTTGAGATAAAGTGCTTTACAAATATCAGACGGATAAATAATAGATGTAATATTTAAAAAATGTTCCATTAAAATCTACTTTAAAATGCCATAAATATAGTTTTTTTTTAAATTATCGAACTTTCTGGAAAAATCCAAAATGAATATTATTAGTTTTAAATCCACTGAAATTTCAATACGGCCATTGCCTGTAATTTTAGGCCTATATCCATCAATTCACATTAAAACTATTGTGTTGTCTAAGACTATTGCTATTTAATATGGCTTAAATTAGACAAAATTAAAACGGGGCCCCTGGCCCCATAGGAATGGATATTATCAGTTCAGTACCCTTCAATATGATATTTGAAATTCGATAATCAGGTATATGTGTACTAAGTTTGATCAACATCCATCTGTTTATTTAAGAGTAGTAAGCCTATTGATATTTATATAGCTAATATATGGAAAAAACGACATTTTGGGCCCCCGCCCCAAACGAAATTTTTAAAACAGTTAATAAACCCTTAAGAGTTCCTTTTGGATCATGATGGATATATGAGCCAAGTTTGATCAAGATCCATCAATTAATGTAAAATCCTTTGTGGAACAAACGAACTTTCACTTTTATTTATTTATATATATATATATAAATATATATATATATATATATATATATATATATATATATGATATGAATTGCCAATATACCCGGCGTTGCACGAGATTGCATTCATGAAAACCAATTATATATTCTCTTTTATGAACACGAAATTAAGCGTCAATTAAAAAGGAACACCCTATATTTAAAACAAATTTAATAATAATTTTTTCTGTTATACAAAAAAAAAAAAAAAAAAAATTTTTAGAAACTTTTTCGTCCCCCTGTTTGATCACATTACTTTCTAGGATATTATTTTTCAAAAAATGATTTCGTTCCTATTAGGATTCAGATCCCGATTTGAATCCCGTTTCAAAGCTATTTATTTTGGCTGTCGATATAAATTACTTCACGAATGTTTGCTATGCTCTTTACATCGAAGTTTCAAAGTTTACAGATCATCACAAACTAATTTTCGTTTTTCCATTTCCGGATCTTTGTGAATTTCTAAAAAGCAGAATTTATACTTACATTTGAAAATTAATCGAAAAGGTTCGTGATTAAATCAATCAAACACTTGTTTAATTAACTTTAGCATTCAATTTGTGAAAACCTACCGCTAACTTTAGCTTTCTTAATTTTTGCATTTGTTATACAAGTTATTAACGCTTATATTGTCTTTGTTTCGTTTACATAATGTACACATTTATTTCGAAATAAGCTTTTTTTCGCTTTTCCTGAGAATTTCGGAAAGACAGATAAAGAGTAAGACATAAAGACATTTGTCGGCTTTTTTTTCTTTGTGTATATATACATTTTTTTTTTTAATTGAATGATTTTGTATTCATACAATCTTTGCCTAAAGATTAAAGAAAGGAAAAAAAAACGTAAAGGTAATTTATATAGCAAGAACCTCTATATGTAACAAATGATAAGAATAATATTATTTATTCGCTTCGTCAAACTTTATTATGTTAATTTAAACTGATCAATGATAATGATTGTTGATTGTGGTCAGATTTTACTAAAACCGTCTATCTTGAATATTTTAACAATTATCTAACCTTGGCTGTCCTAACTATATCAAATCGTTGCTTTTGGAACTTCAAGCCTTTAACCAAACCAAAAACCCGACTCTAAAATAATATAACTATCGAAATGACCACAAATACCAATACGCAAAAAGACCTTAAGGAACATTTTTTTTTTTTTAAATTTTAAAATCAGCATAAGACATTATAAATGAAATCCGAAATAAGGCAGCAAAACGAACATCTAGTTGAAGACGTTCGGTGATATGGTTAGGTCATGCAAGGAGAGTGAAAGAAGGCAGTATTCCAAAGGGTTTGGTGTATGAAGAGTTGTCAGAAGGGGCGAGGCTTAATGAATGTCGGCTAATTAAGGATGTATGTAAAATGAGCATGAGCGTGACAAATATAGAAATAACAGAACGTGACGGATATGTTGAGAACCATCCTTGCTGCTAACAGCAGTGTAAGAAAGAGTAATATAGATGAAGATGCGCAAAACGAAGCCCTTGCGCCAAAAGAGCATTACGCATGAGCACATGTAATTAGGAGTCAAAGTTCTAATACGAGAAATGCAGCTAAGTCTGCCGTTACAGTATCGGCCTCGTCAGCAATTTGATAAAGTGTCTCTAACTAATCCATCGTATCACGACGTCGGAAGGAAGTCATATATAATATATAGGCAGACAAAGTATACGCCTAAACAAGTAGTGTTGAATATAATAGAATTGAGAAGTAATCAATTTACTGACAATAATTAATTTTTATAATTGTGGCTGCATGACTTGAAAAAGAATATCAGGACAGAAGCATTGAACAATTTTATGATGACGTTATCCCCAATATGTTTGTTTTCTTTTCTTTACATTGCACAATATTATGACATAGCTTATAGTCAAAGATATTATAGTATTCACCAAAACGATTTCTAAATATTTTCATCTTTACATTACTTCTTTGCTTGCTTTTTTTTAAATAATTTCTCTAAACCATTTTTTTTTTCATAAATACGGAAGAAGTGAGTAGATGAAAATGTGTTTAAAATATATTTGGCTCTCATTGACTCCTTTATCTGGTTTGGGTTTGGCTTAATACAACTTAGCAACTATATCTGGAATTCCCGATATTATCTAGAAGGCTGACGTGTTGTTTTTTAAGATATTGTTTTTAAAATGGCAGCGCTTCAGAAAAGGTAAGTGTTTGCATATTTTTATCAGGCTCTAGTAATCGTTCTAGGTTTCTAATTATGTAATTTATAGTTATTAAAGGATCTCGCTGACGAAGATCAATAAATAATGGCCAAACAATCGATATTTTTATCATAATTAAGTTTAAAATGGAAACTATTTGATTCGACAAGTGGTGTCATAAAAATATGCATGTCATTGCATGTCCCGTCAGAAAGGGTAGGGTAATTTGCTACAAATATAAAATTACAATGGTTGATAAGAGACTAATGAATCGATCGCAAATTAAAAATTTAAAAAAAATTAACGTTCTAAGTTTATACTTAAACGTATTAATTTTTCAGTAACGACCTTTAAACAACTTTTTTTGGTACACCTTATGACTTATGACATATGACTGTGAAGTTTTCTTCCACATTTCTTGACCCAATAGTTTTCTTGGGGGGTTTATAAGTTATTGAAAATTAGTAACTTAGTACCGATAGAGAAATTATGTTCTACATGTCGAATATTTTTGGGCCTTTTACTCTTGCCATGTCAGGGCTTTTCCCCCATTTTTGCATGACCAGTTTTTGGCCAATAGAATACCTTTTATGCAGCAAGATTAGTGTATTTCATATCAAACTACAAGCAATTAGACAGACAATAATCATATGTAAAAGATAAAACAATAAGAAAATAATGGATTAAATGGTATAGGTAATATTTTGAGATTAAGTTTTTATTTTTTAATGCGCACCAAATCTTATCTTGTCAGACTACACTATGGTATGTGTCATTGGTATTCTATTCTGCTTCAATCATCAGAAAGTGTATCCACTTTTTATAAGAATGAATTTTACATATTAAAAAAATCCATTTAGTGACAGACTTACACACATTGTGTAACCTTGTCAACAAAACAAAACAGTTTCTTCGAGTATGTATATAAACAAAAATATCAAACACATTATTCACAAAATACTTTAGTTTTGTACACATTTCTTTATGGGTGGCCTTTCTAAACCACACTTTAACATGCATATGAGGCCTTCCTGTCCATCCGATGCACTTATAGCAGTTTGCACAATGTCAATCATGCCTGTTGCAGTCAAGCAGATGCTTCTTTTCCCTGAGACTCTCGTTTACAGGTACAGGGTTTGCTTTGTTGAGCAATAGGTAAATGTTTCATTGCTTCTGTGCTTTAGGAACTATTATTCTTTCATTTTTTCCTGCCTAATTTCCTACTTCTCTTTGCAAGAACAGGAGTAGCATTAGGTGCATCCTGATGTGCTGGGTGTGGGCGTGGCTATTGTTTCGTTTACAAAACTTTCAACACAAATGGAAGATAACGTCTCAACTCTTTGAAAACGAATGACTCAAACTATACTAATAACAGGAAATAAGTAGGGGGAGTTATCATTCATTTGAGAAAAAACAAATTAGAATTGCAAGCAGCCCGTAACGAGAGATCCATTACACAAATTAAATCGACGATAGATGACCAATTGCACAGATGCGGCCAGACAAATCGATGATATATCATTGAGTGGGAAGTAAAAAGTTTAAAATAATACCTTAATAAACATTGAAGAAATGTGAATTATTGCGCATTTTTTATTTAGCAGGCTACATTGAAATTAAAATCTTTTTTATAATATCAAAGAAACTGAATGTCATTTAACAAATATTTTATTTAGGTATACAAATATAAATAAACAACGGTATTTAAAGAAAGGAAATGAGCGAAAAACACTTTTGGGAAAACCTGAAGGAAAAAGAATATGCCAAAAAAAAATGAACCTGGGGAAAAATAAAATTTGTCAGAATGATTAAACTGTATTATCTCTCCGTCAGGAAAATTTAAGTCTTGAAATTCATCCGATTAAAAAGTCAAAATAAAATTATTCGATTTTTTTTTTCTGTTCAATTGAAAATTTAAAGTTTATATCTTTTAAATACTTTTTTCAAGTATACATAAATTTAAATTTCATATCGCAATATTAACATAGCAATAAATAAAACAACCGATAAATGAGATTATGACCGATTATGAATTAATAAATTTAAATAATAGCTTTAGCTCTATGATAATACTCTATACTAAAAACAATATCGTAACTTTAAAAATCAGATAAAATGCTTAAAATATAACTTAAATGAAATTCTTAATATATTTATAATGATAATGCAAATAACATGTAACTAAAATATAAGTAGGTGTATTTAATTTTTATGATCTTAAATGTAAAAAAATCAAGTAAAGTAAAGGAAATTTATATCTATGTTTGTAAGACTCAGAACTAAATTAAAGCGTTTAATTTGAGTGTTTTTTGGTCATCCTATATATATATATATATATATATATATATGTTTGTATATATATATATATATGTATAATATGTATATTATATATATATATATACATATATACATATATATTAGTAGCTCTTATAATAAGCTAAAATTGTATGCCAGCTTTTGCAGTAAAATTTCACACACATAACTATTCAGATTCAATACATAAAGTACAGCTATTATATAGTGCGTGTGTTTCATATATATCTTAATCAAAAAAGTCAAAATTTAACTTTGTTTTACAAAATCATACTTCAATCTGCCCAACAAATGAGCACAAATTTGACAACACATGAATGAAACACTTTTCAAAGTTACATTATGACGCGTTATTTGCTTAAATTCAGTTTTAATAATAATCAAAACTCTTTTTAAGATTTGGTAGAATGTAATACGTCATGTAAACTCTTAAGATACTGAGGTCGTTTAGTCTTATTCACTCAATGCTTTTAGTTGCAACGTAAATAATTTAATTTGAATTAAATTAATTTGCTTAAGGAACTACAAAAACGCATGGCATTAACTAACAGCAAAACACGTAGTTTTTTATTTCAGCAATGTTACTATTTTAATTACAATGTTAGCCTATTATATACATATTATTATTTATATCATAATTTAAATTAAGTATACTTAAAAATGGTCAGATTTTGATGGTTTCTATCTGTACACCAAGTTAGCTTTTGAAGGTTTTAAAAAGTAATATAATAAATAAAACGGCTTTGATCTGTTGTAAAAGATACTATCTTACGTAATACATTTGTTTGAGGCACCATTTCCATTTTTCTATATGAGAGTAAGACACAGTGTAAGACACCCACATGTATGCTTCTTCTCTCACAAACACACACGTGTATGACACACTGTCGTTAATAGAAACTGAAAGTGCTACCCTGCTTAGTACACATTTATCAAACTGCTTGTACAATTTTCCTATGTATGACTCCAGCCGTAAGATATATTTTTTAGACTTTAATCAAAGATATTTGTCATTGTTAAATTTAACTTAGGAACATAAATATCAACCAAAATCACTTGGTTTTTAAGTCAAAGGCATTAGAAAATAGTGTAAACAAGTTTGTCATTTATAGAGATAATCATATTTCGTGTAACCAAGTTATAGACCCATTTACGGTTTGTTTTAATATTGCTTTTTCAAATCAAAAACAAAAACGAATTTAACCTAAGTTCCTTGCAAGACGACAAGAATTTATTTCTTTTCTTTTCTAAAATGAATTCGCCAAACAGTCAGCAGTCTTTATTTTAGTTTCCGGAATAGTAAGGGGACAAGTACCTACCCACTGATGGGTGAGGGAGGTTATCGATTATGAAGATTTTTCGTACACGTGCAATTTTCGGGGAAGGGTGATGGTCTCGGCAGAAAGTACTTGCTTTTAAACACGTTCTTCTTGTGGTGTGTGTCCTCTATTCCTGAGTAGAATGTTTCAAAATTAAATGTTATGGTATGGAAACACTGTTTAGCCATTCAACAAGTAATAATCTCAAAACAAACAATCCTAAAAAACCATAGAATAATGTTATCATAGCAATTACAAATCTTTAACATAAAAATCTTAATCTTCATCTCCCAACTCATGGAAACCACTCTCCTCCTCAACAAAAGCAAAATATTCATTAAACTTATAGCCTGAGAAATGTCTGCTCTTAGAGATCGAGTGCTGACAGATTACATAATATTAATAATTAAATACAGCCAAAGTTTTCTCAACAAAGCCCACCACAGGGAAAAAGCTCACCTCTTCCATTTCTTTCCTTTGATATATTGTTCATCAACATTAAATTCTTGTAATAATAACAACCAACTTATTATTCTGGAATTTGTATATCCAGTGGTTCTTAGATACTTTGGAGCTTGGTGGTCACATTGTAAAATGAATTCGATCCATCAAATAATACGCCAATTTCCGAATGGCCCATATTACCGCTAGACAGTCCATTTAGATCGTCGAGTATCTTTTTTCTCTGTCCATTAACTTTCGACTTATGAATTTGACTGACTGGATGATATTTTCTCTAGTTTGGAATAAAGACGCCCATATACCTTTTGTGGAAGCGTCAGTTCTAAATGTAAAAGTTTTTTTTTTATCGTTTGGTAATATTAAAATAGGCTTACTAGTTAATTACTTTTAAATTGTGTCTACTGCCTGTTGGCATTCGCCCGTCCAAATGCTATTATTCGGTGTTACCATTTTGTGTCAGGTCCATCAAAGGTGCCATACGTGTAGACAAGTTGGATATTAACTTATTGTAATAAGAAATGAGACCCACCAAACTTCAAACTTGTTTCTTGGTCTTTGGGTTCTCTATTGTCAACACTTTATTTAAATTGTTGTCGTCCGGTTTTAGAGATCAACCTCCTACCGTGTGTACCAAAAAATTAATAGACTTTTTCCCAGCTCCAATTTACTTGGTTTAAAGATAAATCCTGATTCCTTCAGGATAGTGAAGACTTGCCTTAGGACCTTAATATGAGTTTTCCAGTCCTCTGTATGTATGCAAATGTCATCAAAATATGTCACTACGTGATCTAACTGCCCGAAGAGTTTCCTTATTATCCTGTTAAATGTTGCCGGGGCGGTAGCTAATCCGAACGGCATATATTTAAATTGATAAAATCCTTCTGGTCTATGAAAAGCAGGTAATTCTTTACTAGCGTTGTGTATTGGTATCTGCCAGTAGCCCTAAGTTAAGTCTAGTTTACTAAAAAAACAATGCTTTTGCCATGTGAGCTAGTGTCACATCCTGATTTGGAATAACTTTAGCGACGGTGCTAGTCACAGCATTAAGTCTCCTAAAGTAAACACAATTTCTTAACGAGGCATCTTCCTTATTTTATTAACACTAAAGGTAAAAAATAGGATGAGTTGGAATCTTCTATGATTCTTAGGTCCAACATTACTTTAATTTCTTCCTTTAGCTTTCCCCTCGTATGAGCAGGGATAATGTAGGGTTTTAAACTAAACGGTTTTTGATCTAACAGTTCAATTTTATGTTCTCCTATTGTTGATTTTACTGGAATATCAGAAATTACCTATTGAAATGTATGCAGAATCTTCTTTATTTTTTCGATCTGTTTATCATTTCATTCCGTTTTAATGCCTACCTCTGGGGATTCAGCTACGTTTATTGTCAGCACATTCGGTTCTTCCTCAACTGGGTCTGTACAGTCCTCCGCTATCACTACGGCCACACCGCCATGGTTAACGTTAAATTTGTTATTCTCCTCATTAATAGTTGATTTATCTATTTCAAAATACTTGACAATCCTATTGAGTGAATACACTGTCTTCTTCTACTCCTTTTTAACCTCAACATCAATTTTTGATATAATTCTATTTGCTTTATACGGTCCCTCTAAATGCAATATTAAGTTGTTTCCCTTCATTGGCTCAGTAATAACAATGTGTCGCCTATTTGAATATCTTTGACCACTACATTGCGGTCAAAATACAATTTATGTTTTGCTGTCTTAGCCTTTCTGTTTGCTTGAGCCTCTTCTAAACCGGTTTTCAATCTATTCCTCAAATCAATAGTGTATTCATATATGATTGTATTTTCTTTCTTAATATTTTCCTTTTTAAATAACGTTTTATTATGGACATTAGGCCTATTACTTTTCTATCACACATTTATTCAAATGATGAAATTAATGTCGTCTTATTGGGAGAATCCCTGTAGGCAAAAAGAACGGCCGGTTAAACGATATCCCAGTTTTCGTGTTCATTTTTAGCTATTTTGCTTAACATATTAAGGAGTTCACACACCTGCCGTGTAACTCTGACGAAAATTTGGGCCCATTATCTGAAAAGATTACTTCAGGAAAGCCCCTGTTTGTAAAAAAACAGTAACTAGTGCTTCACATGCATCTTTTGTTGTCACATTTTCGATGGAAATACCTTAGGCAATAGGGTGGCAATGTCAATATTCAAGTATATATCTACTTGTCTTAGTGCCCATTTGTAAGAGTACAACACGATCTGTTGCCTCTGTTTGGAAGGGTACCCCGATGACTTGCTTAATTCCTAACTCTATGGGTTTAAAACTACCAGCAGGTCTAGCTTTCTGTCATTTGGGACATGTTTTAACATAGTTGGTGATTTCTTTGTTCATGTTTGACCAAAACTTTTCCAACAAAATGCGGCATTTTGTCCTCCTGACGGACATGTGTCCAGCAAAAGATGACTCAGGAGCAGTTTTTAATACTATCCGCCGGCATTGTAAAGGTAAAACTAATTTTCTGTCAACTTTACCAATAATTTTTATACAAGTACTCATTTCTTCTTTGAAACATGATGAGTCCTTTTCTTATATGTTCCACGCGATTAGTTTTTGCTTTATCCCAATATTTATGCAATTCGTTGTCATTCATGTGTTCCTCTTTCAAGTTCATATTTTCTGGAAACCCTTGTACTGGCCCTGCACTGATTATACTTTTTCTTAACCTATCTTTCTCCCTTTTTCTTTTACTCTGTGCTCTCGTCAATACATTTCCATATTGATATAATGCTTTCTGTGTGTCTTCTCCTACATTCCCTACAAACAGATCGGCAACTGGGATCTCGAAATGGGCGATTAAAAATGGGCGTTTTAAATATAAATATCCGTGTCCACATATGCAGTTTTGTAACTCTTTATTGTCCCGTCTATAAGTCTCAATTTATAATTTACATCCGTAAACTGTTGCCTAGGAACTAAACCCTTTTCTGCACTCAACTATTGTGCATCCTGTATTCTTGAGTATGGAAACCTCCTTCCCATATAATTTCCCATTTTCTAAAAATAATCTCCCTGTGGAATTCCCACGCATGTGCTCTGCCATGCTAACTGAATGCATTTTCCCTAACAATGGTTTAGGTGTATTCCTATTACCGTTATACCGTCCTTTTCTTCGTGATTTATCCTGTGCAGAAGGCTAGTCTCGCATCTATGGAGGGGCACTGGAAGAATACTTTTTCCCGAAACGCAAGTTTTATTATTACAGACAGAATATGTCAAGGTTTTTCTTATGTCATTTAGAAATTCTTAATTTCTCTTTCAGAATGTCAGTTCAACAACAAACTAGCAAACAAGACAAACATTCAAAGCCTAACTTTGAAAAAGGTACTGTCAACATTTCCAATAATGAAATGTCAAACAAAAATGTGTTTTTTGATTTCTTAACATGGTTGACAGAGAAGTCCGTGGTTGAGGCTAAAGAATTCTATAGAAGCAATTACCCATATTTTGAAACTAATAAAAGAAATAAAGACGATTTTAAAAGGGCGTCTTCAAACGTTAAGAATATCCATTTTTTGGATTTTGAAAACCAAGGTAATTTTTTCATGAAAGATGATTTGTACAATGGCCTAGACATGGATAACTCCATAATCCTTTTAGCTATTAATGCCACCTGTGACATATCTCATTTGGAAAATAAATATGAATGTTACAAAATCCTCAAAGAAACAAATAAGGTTTTTGTAGTGAGAGCAGTTGGCATATTACGCAATGCTGCTGATGTGTGTCTTTTAAATGCAATGATAGAGTGTCATAAAACTCTATCAAAAGATGTACATTTTTTTCTTTACTCAGGTGATACATTATTTAAGGACTTTGAAACGTGTCACTATTTTCGTGGACGAACTTATCAAATAAATCAATATCCAATTCAACAAACTATAATAACCGAAATTCAAACAAGTAGTTTGTTACGAAATTTTGATATTGATGAAGATTCTATTTTACAATTAGAATTAGACCATATACTTTTTTGGGATATTGAAAAAAACATACAATTCTTAGAAGTTCAAGACCAAAAAAAAAATTTAAAACAACTATGGGAGGGAAATATTTTAATCCTAATATGTTGTAGTCAAAATTATAACATACCTGACTTGGGGAGACAATTTGAAAGCTATACAAATATAAATAGGGAAATTAAGGTTCTTAGTAATAGCCATTCTCTTCACGTGATAGAAGATATTTTGGAGGTAATGGGAAAGCTTCATAGGCTTTGTCCAATTAATGTAAACTTTTCTGTTCTCTCAGATAAAAAAAGCCTAAAGAAAGTTAATGCTTTCAAAGATTTTCAGGGACGAAGAGTTACCAAAAATGCAATCACAATATTCAATTATTATTTAATTGAAATTTTTAGGCAAAAAGACAATGAGATTTGTATATTCGACCCATTGGACGGTTTCGAGATTAAACCTCCAAGACATACTCTTATACAAACTATTAAATGCAGACTTACATGTGAAGTTTTACCTAAAATAATAGATGCTGTTAAATTTTATGCAAACACAATGTCAGAGATAGTTATTGTTTCAAAAAACAAAAAAATGATTGCCCCACTTGTCCAAGAAATGTTTAACGATGATGTAAATGTACGTCTGCATAGTGAAAAATAATTTTAATTTAAACAAATGAAAGTTTGGGTCACCTGATTTTCACAGTGAAAAAAAGTTTACATTTTTCTACAAAAATTAACATTTTACATTTAAACACCAATTTTGTTAGACACGAACAGACACTATCTATTACTGTCGACTGTATATTTCATTTTATAAAAAATAAATTTGTTTGATGCATATAAAATGCAATTTTTTTCTGTAATGGAAAAATAATATCATATTATATGCTTGCACTAAAGTAGGCCATCACAACAAACGGTGTGCCAGAACCCAATTTGCTGCCTGTGAAGTGGGCGCTCAAATGTACACAATATATTATCGTTACGCCAAATGAAGGAAAAGTGTCGTTAACCGCATATGCATCCTTATTTGCTTCTATAGACCTGCCTAAGGCATTTGACTTGGTAATTTGGAGAGGCGTGTTCAGTATCGTGCAATGAATAGGTTCCGCCATGACTGCTCATCATCATACAGACATTTCACAAAAACATTCTCAACACAGTAACTTTCAACGGTGCGGTCTGTGAGGAATTCCCAGTCAGCAGCTACTTCATCGAAATGCGAAGACGGAATGATGCCATATGACATATATAATAAAATTTAATGTGCTTTTAAGAAATGAAATAAAATTAAATTTGTAAAGATGTATCGTTGTGTTATTATTGATACATGTTCCGTTTTTTTTCGTGACGAGATTACATACACACACATGCACGTCTTTCCAGCGCAATTACTCTTACGAAAAAGGTGTGAAGCAGGACTGTGTCCTTGCTCCCACACTCTTTAGTATTATGTATTCTGCAATGCTGTCTGGTGAGTTCAAGGACTCCACCACGGGCTTGCACTACATAACAGAAAGAAATTAACAGAAATCTTCTATTAGTAGCTCATTGCATTCTACAAACACAGAAATATAAAGGCTATGTTTATTAGACGTATATACCTTCCACATAAAATATCCCAACACATGCGCCACTTCCTTTGTGAGAAATTAGCACATTGCAGGATAGTTAGCCTACTACATATGCTTTACGTCAATTCGCGGCTGGAAAATGATATATCAATTGCTTATAAGCACACTGCAGTATTTGTAACTAGAAAGATGTAACGGTTGGTTAGCATCTAACTATATTTAAGAATTCAGTCTATTTTTTTCCCTGCTTAGTGCATTTTAAGTCACCAACCAAAAAAGCATGCCCTTAACTATTAGTAAGTAAAATTAAAAAGCCTTTTGACAACATTTCTTAATTAGTAAAATTTCCTGTAAAACCATCAAGGGATTTTAATTCTAAAATTCCTAGAACAGATACTGCGTTTAAATATTTTTCTCGTCCATCTATTTAAAGCACAAATGACAATGGTCTGAAACTCACTCTTAGCAATGACAGAGGTGATGTGAACTACCTAAAATACTACCCGGACTGTGAGACTAGCTTCTACAACCGATGTTCTAATGGTGACATTCCATTCATGTAAGTAAACAGTAAATTATCATCATATTTACATATAGGCACATCAAACTCAAATGACTTTTTAGTTTAAGAAATCACTAGCCAAAATTGCCGGTGTTCTTCGGGATCTCAAAACTGGTGTGATCTAGATCGTGGTGTATTCCCAATCATTGGATTCAATGCCTGTGATTTCCGATACCGGTGTGTTCCAGAGCCTGGTGGGTCCAGTTTCCTGTTGGAATCACGTTTCCCGGTCGGATCCTAAACCCGGTGTGGGATCCCGTTCCCAGCTAGGTTTCCATCCTGCTAGGATCCTATCGATTTGGATAAGGTTTCCCGTTGGTATCTTCTTCTCATTATGGATCCCGTTCTCCAACATAATCCGTATTTGATACCATTACTCGATTGGATCATGTTAACATTGGCTTCCAGTTTACTTGTTTAGGATTTTGTTTACTTTGGTATTATGTTCCCAGGGAAATTTTGTTCCCCGTAGAATATGAAGTATATGTTTAAAAATTCAAATGAAATTAGAGAAACGGATACAAGTAGACTAACATTTGAAAAGATTTTAGATGTCATAAAACACCCCCCATTCAAACAATATATAACTTTCTGATACATTCTAGATTAAAATTATTATCCTCCTCAAGACGTGTGAAACGAGACTTTTTTAATTAACTAGACTATATGACTCAATGATATCTGCATATTAATGGTAGGCCATTTTTGATAATTTCTACCAGCTTTTGCAAAAAAAATCACAATTCCTAACTTTAAAAAGTAGTATCTGTGTAATGCCATTTACGTTTCTTACATCTTTAAGTTTTTAGAAGTATTTTTTGTGCTATACATTATACGCCTACTCCACTCCCTTCCACGTCCCTAACTCTAAAAATGAGCTTAAATTATCTATTCTAAATTTTCACTAATTCAATAACTTTTGTCACTAATTTAAAAGAAATGAATGACGCACACGCTTCTGGGTTCGGTGTAACTACTGACCTTTATTCTACATTACACTATTTTTATACCTCCACATTTCCCCGCATTTAAGTTATAAAAATTCCTGAAAATATTAACAACTCATGACGTCCAGATATACCAAATAAACCCAACACAGGGCAATTAGGTCACAAACTTCACTCACTACTGTCAAGGGTATGAAAATCACTGTTGGTATGTGTAGATCACTGTTGTTATGTTTGGTAGAGAAAAGATGTTTTGTTTAGAGATTTCATGTGTAGCTGTATTTATTGTGTGAGAGTGTTGTGACGTATTTGTGTAAGGGGAAATGATGCGTAAGTTTTGATTGTTGTGGACAGAAGGCATAGATGGCCTTTGGGTGATATTCAAAGCGTAGCTTGTGTTATTGTGACATCTGTATACACACACACTATACTTTTCGAAAATTAAAAACAAAACTATATTTTAACTTTTTAAAAAAAATATTAACCCATCTCTATTTTTCAAAATTAAATTTTCAAGTGTGCAAACTGATTGAGTTTTGATATTCATGGGCATACTTATATAAATGTAGCCACGTTTTGTTAACGCCATTGATTTTCTTAAGTGGTAAACGGGAAGGGATAGTAGGAGTTAAGTACCCTTAGATATTTAAATATTGGTAATCAAGTGTATGTGTACTAAGGTTGGTTAATATTCCTCAAGTAATGTAGGATAATTTGTTGTTAATTTTATTTATATAGCTAATATTAGAAAAATAAGGAATTTGGGGCCGTCGGCACCGAATGAAATGTTATGAAAAAGTAAAAACCCAACATTACTTGAATATTGATAATGATGGTTATATGTCATACATTTTTTTCCAAGATTAACCAATCAGTGTAAAAGCCCAGAAGAAAAACCAACCCACACATTTTCATTTTTTTAAAAATAAACTGGACGATATAACCGGCATTTGCCTGGATAGTATCCGGAAAAAAGGTACTTCGACAGACTTAGAATTAATTTTAATCACCGTTTACAGATGTATATCTTTAGTACTAAATATATTAATCAATCTGTCTCCCATTAAAATTCCATTTAAAATAACGTTTGCAAACATTGTTTTCTCCTAAGTGATCCCGACCCAGGAGAGACCAAATCAGATCCAGTTTTCTGATGGAATCCCATTTTCCGATGTTTCAAAGGATAGAATGATCCTGTTTGGGTTTCAATATCGGTGGGATCCCGATCCTTGCAATTTCTCTATCACGTCTGTATTCCGATCCAGGTGGGTTTCCGATATTCTCATTGTACAAATCTCGTGGTATTCCGAACCCGATGTGATCCAGATCTTAATGAGATTCATATCCAGATGGTTGCCGTTAAGATGATGGTCCTTGTGAGTTTCTATCCCATCGGGATCACGATTACGGTTAAATTGTCATCCCAATGGGATAATATTTATCCCTTTGGGATCATAATAGCTGTGTGATCCCAATACACTTGAATTATAATCCCGGGCTGATCAAGTTTCACAGTGAGTTCGCTATACCGTTTTTTTCCAGTTTTTTTTTTTAGATCATAATCCCGTTGTGATCCCCGTTTCCAGATGGGTTCCGATACCGCTTTGATACAGACCATGTTTGGATCTCGATCCTATTAGATACTGATCGCAGTGGGACTCTAATAAAAGCCCTATTCCGTCGGTATTCCAATCCCGTTGTGATGGTGATCCCATCGGTATCCCGATACCGTGGGATCCTGGTCCCACGGTGTCCAGATCTCGATGGGATCCAAATCCCGATTGGATCACGATACCGGTAGATTACTGAAACACATGTGAGCTCCCGATACCGTTTAGATTCTGGTCCCGTGTGTTCACTATCCCAATGTTGCCCGAGATTGCAATAGGAAAAGCAACAACTTCTACAGGCTTAAATTAACATTCAAATTAAGCGATGTTATGCAGACGATGTGTTTACTTCGTATTTGTACGTGCTTTGAACACTAGCAGGCACCAAGCAAGGACGAACCCACATTTAAGTTGTGGCAAGCTACAAACAGTGTCTTGACATAAATAAAATTAGTAATCTTATCTATTCAAATTTTATAAAAGAATCTGGAATAAACTGGAAAGGAAAACTAAACGCGTAAGACGGTTCTAGACACATCAGTAAAACAGACTGTAAAAAGGAAACACGATAGATTTCTGGGAGTGCATTTATCACGAAATACTTTCTGCCTTACGGAACGACAGATGGTAGTTATTTTGAGAGTGTGTTGTTCTTGATAGATCTGAGTTTACTGTATATGCCTGGATTTATATTCATTGTTGTACCCTTTTTGCATAGTGTATTGTCATCAACTTTGTATCGGTGCAAGAAAAACCGTACTCTGATAGTCAATAGATTTAATTATATTTCGTTTTTCTTTTGTATTTTTAGTAGCTAAACAAAACGTATTAATTGCGATTAGCCATGGTTTAAGTGTCGTATTATTTGTTATTGAATG